TGGTTTACTTAAGATAAAGTGTTTCAATTCTTTTAATTTAAAAATCAATTCCCTATCGATCAAAGATGACAGATGCATACATTAGTCAAGCCCTTCTCAATAGGAAACTATTGATTTGAGACAAATGAATTTCCAAGTTTTGTTATATTGACCATTTTGAAATAGTTTGAATAGTTTAGCAAATACATGCATTACCCTTTTTGTAAACTTCACTGAGCAGGCAGGTAGCCAATGAATGACATTAATGCAAACAGAAGACCAGTTAAATCTTTTTTGTAAAATCCAACTGGTGGTCTATTATCAATGCTGCATTCTGATTGGTTGATCTACTACTAGGCTATATGTTATAGCCCACTAGAAGCAAAAAGTGCTGGCTTTTTGGCGGCAAAAAAGGATTAAAGTCTAGCTTTAACTAGCTAAAGTTGTTTTGTCTTGATATTTTCAACCAACTAGTTGGATTTTACCAAAACACTTGCCCGCATGGCCTCTGAGTCAATGGCTCACTTGGCCTTTGGCCTCATGGGCTATTGACTCAGAGCCCACTTGGTTTCGAGGAATTATTGCTAAATACTGGTAAACATGTGCGTATCAAAATACTTATAGATAACATGTACAAACAGTAGGTATTAAGTGGGCACCTCTCGTGCAAGATAACTGTACAGTAACGCAGATGAGCTTTGTTTAGCCTTTACCTTATCTTGCTAGATTTAATTTTAACTTAAAGTGAATCCCTACTTAGTTGCTAAACAAATTCTTTTTTGTTTCTTAAGTAATTTATTTAGTTATTTTATTTACTTAGACCTTCAGTATGTAGTAACCTACCCAATTTGCTCCACATGCCTAGACTAGCCCTGATAGTGTAGTGGGTAGAGCAGTTTGTAAATTGTCACTTTTTAATGTAAAAATAAACTTGACAAACTTATTGAAAAATGTATATTGATCAGTGAAGAAAATATAGAGGGTCATACAGGGGTATTTCTGTGATACATGGAATCATATTCGTGATTTTATTACCAATTTTTCTCAAGATTTTCAGTTTAGAGACCTCTGGAAGATGAGTAAAAGACTATGAAAACATCAAATGAGAATGATGAAAGTCTGTGAGTTGCTATTTGCGTGAGTCTTTCTTTTCCTTTTTGCCACTTTGCTGTTTTTTCAGATACTCTTTTGCCACTTTTTTCTTTGCTTAAGAACAGGACTGAAAAAATGGCACTCCACATGCTGATTATCATGACTCGAAAACTAAGATGAAATTTTGACTTCTGTGATTCACGATTACTTAAATCTTTTGGTCCGTAAACTGTGCCAGAAACCCCCGTCTGAACCTCAAAATAGGACTACTCAGTTAATAACTTAATAACCAGTGAAAGGCAGAACAGTGCCTGAGTTAGTTAACAAATAAAGTACTTACAATCTGGACTTGACAGAGAAACATCATGAGAGCTTTGTAATGGTGGGGGCAGACCAGCCTGTCAAAAACATGTCAGTTAGTGATAGACTACTATGATAGTTTTAGCTGCTTATGTTTTAATCAGTACAAAATTGGCTGACAATACTTCTAATGAATTCTCCTAACGTTGCAGTAATGGCTTGAGAAACAATTTTAAATTCTTAAGCAGCATTGCTTAAATGACTCATCAACTCACTCTTTCAACTATCCTATGGCATGAGATTTAATTGGATTCTGATAAAATATAACAGTACCGTAGATTAGATTTTACGAGCTGACTCAGGAGGTTTCTACTTTTTTAAATAAAATGCACAAATGTGCAGCTAACAGGCAACTGTTAGAGCTTCTCTGTTAACCACAACAAGGGCCTAACTATGTGTTTGAAATGAAATTATCCCTGTACCACAAATAGCATGGACATGTTACATGTAGAAGGCTACCTTTTTCCAAGAAATCACCTTCAGAAACTGTACGTTATCCATTAAAGATTGTACTCCTCTCAGCTAGGTTCTTTTCACTCTATGACGCAACACGTTTTCTAGCAAGACTGCGCTTTTTATAGTGTGTTTCTTCGTTATTTTAAAGACAAAGCTGTACAGGTGCTGATTTACACTATCATAACAATAACAACTGGTTTTTACTTTTCTCTAAGAGTTCCAAATTAAAAAATATAGCCCCAGTTAAGTTAAAATAAGCCCAAGGTTAAACGCGGGCTGTTCCTGACCTTCCCTGGCAAAAGAAAAGTCATTTTCTAACGAAAACATAAACTTTGAAAAAATGCAATGGGCATGGGCAGCTTGTGTTTTGGGCAGGCAGCTCTCTCATTTTTCTTGCCTCAGGGGCCACTGCTTGCTTGTCTTAGTTAATGATTTTGTTAGATGATGACTTGCCTGGATCCTCAACCATTTTCCAAGCAAGTTTTAAAAGTTACTTGCCCAGCAAGAAAACCCACTTGTCCCAGACTAGCAATGACATAATTTTTTTGGCGCCTTCTGTTTACCATCAGTACGCACTTGGTTATGAAACTCTGTTTTGCATTAGAGTAGTGATTTCCGTCTAAATTGTCACCTGTAGAACACCACACAGCTGTATTATTAACATTTTAAAATAGAAATAAAGTAAAACCCACCTGGCTTCCTGTTAGCCCTGAATCTCTGTATCCTGCTAGAAAACAAAGACAGTCAAGAGTTCCTGTTGCCTTTTACAAACCATCAAATACTTTACTTCTAAGTACACTGTATGAAATAGACTGCTTATCGTTAATCTGTAAGAGACTGTGTACAATGACTTTTCCCTTAAACTCCATGAAGGCTAAGATCACAAAATGTTTAAATAATGTCTCGTGAAAGTACAATTTGTTCCACTTAAATGATACAGGACAATATACAATGTTTTTTTAAATCATATTTTCAGTATTTCCATCCTCTCCCCGCTTCCTTACCACTACATACATTTTCATTGTCTTCTTGGCTAAGCCTATTTATAGGGGTTTTTGGCTTGATAAATAGCCCAGGAGAGTGGCCACTGTAGAAGGTAAATTTCACCCGCATGCTATTTTTAGCAAACTTGTATATGAAAAAACGATAAATAAAAAGAATGGCCTGATGTAGGTGACTCCTGTGTACAGGTGTAGGTGCGTCTCCAACTTTCTTATTTAACCCTTTAAACCCTAAGATCAAAATTTGAATTCTCATTTTTTCCCCTATTCATTTCCTAGAGATGTGGTGGAGAGAAGTTGATAAAATAACAAGGACATTCATTTTGTGTGATCATGTCCATAATTTTCATAACCACTCTGTTTTACAAAGCATTGATATCACAGGGAGAATTTGATGCTGATCACTCTTAGGGCTTAAAGGGTTAAAGAGACTCAAAACAGAATGAGGGGCGTCTGTCGATGAATAAGTGAACAAACTTGCCAACGAGGCACGTAGCACTGAGTTGGCTATAATCATCACATATCCAACAAGCGCGAGTGGAATGATAATATTATTTTATTAAAAACACCCACAAAATATTGAGAATTTTTCTCGACTTTTATTTGTAAAAACAACCGACTCTCAACTTGTTTTTAATTTTGAGCAGACACGTGCAATTGCCCTATTTGGAGAGCATGGTATAATGGCTCATATACCATGATGGCTAAGCCGATCAGCGCTCTAGAATTGCATTATCCAATAATTCAGTTTTTAATAAATTGAAACATCTTCTTGATTCAAAAGCTGAGTACAGTAATGCAGCTGTTTAAGGGTTCATTTTTTAGTGTGGCTGCTGGTTCAAGACATTTTATGATCTTATGCGGCTATTGTGAACGGCAAAATGTACATGAATTATGTTTCACCTGCTTCAAATGTCAGTGGTTTAAGCATGTATCTTTATGGCTTTGTCTGTTTGGATGTGTGTTGCAGGGGCCAATAAGGTTGAAGGTACTATGCGGTACTATGCTAGGAACCAATGAGATTTTGGCATCTAAACATTGCATTGCTGCGGTAAAGGTCAAACAAAGGTACTTTAAACTGCCATTTTGGTTCTTCACAATTTTGTCATCTTTAATTACAGCTAAAGGTGTTTAGAGGCATAACATTGAAATATCTTCATGATTCAAATGATGAGTGATGCGGCTGTTTAATTAAGGGTTCATATATTTTAGTGTGACTGCTGGTTCAAGACATTTATGATCTCAGCCATAGTGAACGGGACAACATACGTCAATTATGTTTCACCTGCTACAAAGTGAAGTATAAAAAATCATATTTTCAAAGGTGTACAAATGAAACGTTAATAATTGGTATTTAGATATTGAATTTAACTTGGAGGTACAGGGTTTGTGTTTTTAGAAGTTTGAACAAGAGCTGATTCTTTAAAGCTGTACCAAGTAAATTGCTTCCGCAAACATGCTTAATTTCTCTTGTACATTGTTCAATAAACCTTTAAATTCATGTTCCGGCAACTTAAGTGCAACCATATCTAATACATGTTTGCTGTCATAAAAGTAATCAAAATGTATTTAATTTACCCAGTGGCTAAGTTAAGGTGTGTAACTTTTGCGTTAGCGAATAAACTTGGAAGTAGCCGGGTGATGAAATAATTAGAGATTGTTTTATTGAGTGGAATAACATGAGATGAGTAGAAATCAGTATTTCAGCAATTTGACAATTCTGTTGGAAGTAAAGTAATGATGTTAGTGTAACAATCTTAACATAAAATGATGCATAATTTAATTGCACATGTTTGAAAAGGAGGTGACTTGTTTAAAAAATCGTTTGAGCAAAGTAATCTTGTAAACAATATGTGTTCTTTCTCGTACAAATTGTAAAAGGGGCAAAGTTCAACATCTTCACGTTCAAACTGTGTGTACCAGATATTTTTTATAATCCTATTTACTAGATTACTTTGTGATAACTCGAATTCCCTCACGTACGAACCACAAAAGGGGGCAAAGTCTAACACTTTCACGTGCTGGCTGTATGTGTGACTGTACATCTTATGCAGATTGGCTTTTCAAAGTAATAATAGTAACTTGAACGTATGAAGACCTGTTTGGTTTTGTAACCAATGCCTTAAGTAAACGCTCTTGTTTTTTAACAAGCAATAGCTTTTAAAACATGAAAAATTAAGTTGTCAGAGTCAAAGACTGTTTCATTGAGAAGAATCGCACATGAAAACCTCATGAATTATGATGATGCAACCATCTACCACAATGATCCTGATATTTTGTAACTGTTTGGTATTTGATAAGCTACATTTTCTTAAGAAACTCTAAAGAGAGTTTTCCCTCTAATCAACGTTTGGTGAATTGATATTTATTGTACTTTAACAGTTTGCTTAACTTGCAATAGATGTATCAGGGAAAGGCAGAGGAAAGTGAATATATAGCATGAGGATCGACTTAGCTGAACATTTCGTGTTTTCATTCATGTACAGCAATACCCAGTTTTGCACAAAAAACAGTCTATATTTAGGATGAAAAAGGTAGCTTCATCATTCTTGGTACAGTTACACTGACGCATTCAAAATAGCTCATGCACGTTAAAAGTGCCTATGTTTTCAAAAAGCAGCAGTGACATCAACCCGTGATTGAGTAATTATCAGGGGTTGATACAATCCAGGTTTTGTTGATGCCTTTTCAAAAGAATATCTGCTAGGTAAATCTGCATAAAAAAGTGCAGTGGAAACACTTGAACCCAATATTTAGGACAAAATTATATTCAAAATGCATTTCTTAATGATGAGGGCCGGTTAGGGTAAAATTCCGACAAGAGACATGGCCTCATAATATAAAACTGGATGAAATGTCAACAAATGACATAAAGATGGGTTAAATACTGACAGGGACAAGACAAACTCCTTAAAACACACGTCAAATGTATTTAACATATTTAAAATTCAGATTAGGGGCATACATCCCCCCCCACCCCCGCTCAGAGGGCCTCAAAGATGTCATCATTTACTGCTAAGAAACAGATATGGCCAGTTTATTCAGAATCAAGCCATTTCAGCATTCTGTCTTTTAAGATTGTCCTTTTTGAGATGTTTAGTTTATGCAGGAAAGTATTCAACCCACATTTAGGAAAGCAATAGCACATTATTTTGCAGTGTAGAGCAATCAAATAAAAAATATATTTGCATATGAAATTTATAAAAGCTGGTAAACCTGTATTTAACTTATGTCACTTCTTAGAGAACAACTCCAATGCAGTGTGTACAAGATGACATGTACTGTTTAATATGTCCAAGTTTATGAAAGCGAATAATTTGCACCAAAAACTTGTCACTGTAAACAGATGTATTCTTTTAACGTTAAACTGAGCTTAAAGTTTAGAGAAAATGCCAAATCAACTACTTTTGATCCAATTACCGCTTCAAAATATGTTACATTACTTAATGCAGTGTTAATTGACTGAGACTTTCACCTGGCGAAGAGTCATCCACCCTGATGAATTTCAGTAACTGGCAACAAGTGCGTAATAAACGGTCCAACAACAAGCAATAATGTGTGAATAAGTGACAGTGTTTTAGTTAACAAGATGTAAAGCGGATTTATTCATCACATCAAATCAACCTTGTAATATGTGTTTGAAAAAGGTATCTGTGGCATCCAGTTGGAAGTACGGTACGTACTATAGGACTATAAGTTTAAGCCCGGAGCGAAAAAAGGATTCGTAAAAAACAGAGGGTGGGGCTAACAGTGAGTAAGCATATTCGCTGACATTATCATATCTACTTTCTTGCCCAGACAATGGTGAATGAAAACATTTCTCATAGAATAAAATATACATTTGATATAATCACTCAATCTTTCAGCACTTTCAGCGCAGTGGAAAATCATGAGAAAATGCTGTTATTGTTTAAATGCCCAACCAAATAAATTAATTCAACGCCTCGATATTATTGAAGGGAACAAAAATAAAATGTGGTTATTTTATTTACCAAGCATCGCAAGTTATAATATTAAAATAATCGCAAATTCAAGGAGGAAATCGAAACCTCTAAAACAACTCTTCTGCGTTAATTTCGTCTCCGATTTGACCGTCTTAGGTTGGCAAAATCTATCATGCGAAAAGCAGTTTCAACCGCTAAAAAGGGTTCGACATTTATCGCCACCATTGTGAATTCACTGAAAAACAAGGCAATCAATTTCTCAAAAGGGTATCCATGCAAAGTTGAGATTGCTTTCCCACTGTCTTGCCTTTCAAGTCGTTCAAAGGTTTTCACGATCAGTTTTGACGAGATCGAGCTGAAGCACGCGTCAGTGTTTAGATCAGAAGAGTTTTGATCATCCGAACAATATCAAAGAGGCAACGAGGCATGGCTTTCATGCAAGCGACATAACAACAACAAAGCAAAGACATGGAGAGCTTTATCTGTGTACCATTAAAGTGCTAAAGAATAATTTTGCATTTAAAATGTCGCCGAAATTTTTTTCTCTTTGTTAACAGATCATCTTACCTATTCCTAACGAATTTGAACTGAGATATGAACTTGCAAAGCTAGATCCTTTGCGGGAAATAAAGTCGCTTTCAACATCGTCGATCGTGCTGTAGACACCATGGCCATCCGTTTGGTAACCCTGAAAAAGAAAAAAAAACGCATATAAATATGAGTGAAATTAAAAGACGATCACTCATTTGTAGCTTTATTTATTCAGTCGCTCAGCTTTTGCTCAGTGAAGTGTTAAAAATGCCGAGTTATAAAAACGAAGGGCATTTCCAACCAGCATGAGCTTCGCTAACATACACAACTAAGAGGGCCACTTGTTAGTAAAATATTTTGCATCTTTATAAAGTAACAAATTATTGCTTAAAAATATAGAGTTTCCGTTCGGGCACGTGCGGTAGCTTTAGTGATCCTAATTTTGAATAAATGCTGCTGTTGACATGTAAACCGAGTTTTACATGACTTTTGTTTTGAAGATTTGTTTTAATTTTCAAGCGCATGTAACATCACCGATTTAGCTCCTGCATTCACTACTTGCTTACCCGAGCTTCATAGGCCGACACAGAACTGGCCTGCCACGTGGGTGTCTCGTCTAAAGAACCTACAAAAGAAAAAATAAAATACAGCCATCAAAGTCAATACTTTTAAGTCCTGATGGCAAAGAAGCATGTGCATTGGAGCCAAGAACCGGTTCGAGCTACTCTAGTGAGAGTAACAGGTTCTATCAGCTCCATGCATCAAGTTTAATTCATGGCGAACGACAGACAAACAAAACGCAAAGGGCACCTGTTCGAGATGCGTGCATGGAACTCGATAACCCAGCTTCCGTCAGAGAGCCACTAGATTTACTGCCGACCATGGATCCCGGCGGCGAGAACATCTGAGCAAAAAAATTGCCAACACGCAAAGCAAATACGATCGTTAATAAAGTGCAGCCAACAGCGTTCGCTAATCGCAACATCTAGTCAAGTTGCGAATGCAAGTGTGACAGAAATTTTTCAACTTATACTAACCGCGCTGAAGTCTAGTAGATCGCTCAACTCCTTATCTCCCGCGTGCGGATTCATTCGTCAAAGTGTTCCAGTGCTTAGGGAATCGTGCTTGGAAGGACCTCTTCTGAAAGCACACAGCCTTATGTCGGGCCGATTTTTGAATAATAAGCTCAACCACACAAAAAATCCTCAAAACTTCAGCTCACTCAATAACAAAGGCGACACACTGAACTGTCCTTCGATCAATTCTCCAAGCTGACAAACCGCACTCAGCCCAAATAATTCTGAATTTTTTTAACGGCTTTCCATGCGCTGTTAGCGCGGGGGGAATTTCCGCGAACACGACTAGCTTTACAAATTTTCTCTAATTCGCGTGGCTTCGTTTTCTTCCATATTCCCAAGTTTAACCAGTCCAACTCTCCGGGGAGGGGACTAAAAATAATAATTGACAGCTTATTGTTGCTTTCATCATGGCAATTATTAGTCTTGACAGATCCAATTATCTTTTGACCAATCAGAAGTTTCGTAGGAAAATCAACGGTACCCACGTGACTCCTACACGTGATAGCAATACCTAAACAAAGTCATCGAAGATTGTGATTGGCTAGCTCCTAACGTTATTGAGACAAACTTTTTCCTTGGTTTTGGATACCTAATGTTAAATAAACGAAAAAAATAAACCGTTTTCCTTTCCTTAAAGTAATTTCCCATTGTGGAATTTTCCCTGTAAACTTCGGTGCGTTTTGCATTTTAAATATCTTGCTGCAACGATGTATGACTACTTTCGAGGCTTCGCGGTTCAGTGTTAAAAATCATGCCCTTAAGTACAGGAAATAGAAAGCATCTTATTTCCGGTTCTCGTTAGCTGTAACAAACTTTTATGTCGAAAAAATTTTCTCCGATTCTTGTGAATAAGATCAAGGAGAAGACAAGTATCTCCGTGGAAACTCAAATATGCTCTCGTTTCTCTTCATTTGCCTTAAAACTCATGCGATTTAGCTTTTGCCCAGCGACTTACATCTAAGTGTCTCATTGGTAATCCCATTGTTGAAATCCGCTAACACTTAGGCGAATGAGGATTAAAGCTTCGATCTCTTAATCTTTTCATTAAAGGTTATTTTTTGGTAACATCGTTTTTCAGTTATGCCGAATACATGTATGGGTCGTTTTGATAGCATTGAAAATTTGCATATCCATAGAAGCCTACAGAAAAAATTTGCATAATGTTGACAGCACTTTAAAGAAACGTGAGAAAAACAAGATCTTATATACGTATTATTTCATCATAATTTAAGTCCATTTTCTTACTTTATTTTGGTCATAAATTACTTCTCTCAAAACAACAAAATTTGTCCCTCAAAAATGTATTTCGGTGCCATTTTATGTGACTTTTTTGACATAATTACGTGACACCATAACAATGTTTTGTTATACCATCATTTCTTTGTGCACACAAGTAGCTTTTGATCCCAATCACTAACCAAACGTTGCTCTCAGCCATAAAATATCAATATACAGGGTGTTTGTTGATGTCAGTGTCGAGTTTAAATTATATGAATTTCAAAACACAAGCTTTGTTAATCCCACGATGCACGCGCTTATGTGTGAATTAAAGAAAAAATAAAGAACTTTAGTTGATGTGAATACACACAAGGGCTGTTCCGCAGTTCTACTTTATTATCGCTAAAAAAAGAAAGAAATCTAGGTTTGTATAGCTATAATGAACCACACGCCGACGTCCGATATTGCATGTCGTTTGCTTCCCATTCGAAGCGACTCTTTCCGTAAAGAATTTTTCTTCTTTTTGTGGAGTTAATTTTCATTTAACACCAAGATTGAAATGTTTTCCCCAGGTTATGAAAAGCTCCACGATCGCGAAGAGTTGCTTTTATTAATTTTTAAATGATCTAACGCGATAGATGTCATGTAGGCGCAAAATAATCGAACTAAAACAATTCTCTTTTGTAGAAGCTTTCACCGCCGAATAAACATAATTTGCGTATTTACTAACGCAGTTCATTGGCGATTTGACCCTTAAAAACTGGTACTTGGTTATTACTAGTAGCCTCAAAATAAAAAAGCGTTCTTAAACGGTTTATACTATACACAACGAATTTAAAGAATCACTTAAGATAAGAAATTCTTGATTTTAAGAGGTTTTCCTTTGAGGTTTTAATCATCCATGGTTATTACGTGGAGCATTTTGGGAAAATAAACACTTTTAAAAAGGATGTCGTCTCAACATTCACGAGCGGCCGTTGACTGACTAGCAATCGGACTTGTGCTAATGAGTTCTAACTACGTAGAATATGCAGCAACGTGGCGATATGTAAAAATAGTTTTATTAGTAAGTAAGAAAAACGCTTTGCGAATCGTATCCTACGACTTGAACAGGTTCAACAACAATTTTTTACCAGGAACGCCTGGTTTGTGCATCCTCGTGGTCTTCAGCAAATCTAAACCCATGAAAATAGCCTATGAACAGGTTCTCAGTCTTATGGAGTATAGCACGAAGAGAAACTGCTAAAAAGTACGGCGGAAGGGGAGGGGAAGGGGATGTACACTCAGAGGAAACGTCGAACAGGCGGCGAAAATCATCAACAGACTTCGCCTCGGTCCATAAAAAAGCAATAAAAAAAATTATACATTCATATGTATGGGGAAAAAAAAGTTCAGTCATCTCAGCTGACAGTTGTGGATGCTTCTCAGCCATCAGTTAACAAACTATAGCCATTTCAGTTTCAGCCGCGAGGACAAGTAAATGTTTGGCCAATTCAGGACTTGGAGAAACTTGAGGCATTCACTAAAGTCAGGTCTGATTGGCGAGACCGGTTCTCTATATACATATATCTTAAAAAGGAAATAGTCCTTTTCTTAGAGTTTTCGCAATCAGCCCAACACGGCTCGGTATCCTATAGTATTAGGCTGATCTAGCTNTTCAGTTTCAGCCGCGAGGACAAGTAAATGTTTGGCCAATTCAGGACTTGGAGAAACTTGAGGCATTCACTAAAGTCAGGTCTGATTGGCGAGACCGGTTCTCTATATACATATATCTTAAAAAGGAAATAGTCCTTTTCTTAGAGTTTTCGCAATCAGCCCAACACGGCTCGGTATCCTATAGTATTAGGCTGATCTAGCTTGGCGTATCTGATGAACAGTGTAATTCTCTTAACGTTTGGGCTACCTTGGCCGGCCAGTTCTGCGGACTAGTGGTAAGCGCCCTTACATGCAATAGTAGGCCGGCGCTTTTATAAGGGAGCTTAAGCAACAGCGTTTTTGAGCGACGGACGTCAACCGGAAGTGGACTTTTTGCAGCATTGGGCTGTGGTTTGGTTGAAACCCTTGGGTAAATCGTCTTTATAGGAGAAAAGAAACTCAGCAATACAAATTTGGTAGTGTACAGGCATATAAAAAGGGAGAAGGCCTCACTTCCGGTTGACGTGCGTCGCTCAAAAACGTCTTTGTTTAAGCTCCCTAATATCAACGGAATCAGAGCGCGCGTACCGGAAAGGGCTTCTGCGTGTTCACACATAAGAACAGTGGCTTCGGCGCTATTCCCTGACGGAGCGAAGCTGCGTCGCGCTGATCTCGAACTTGAAGCGTCACATATCGGATAAGTTTGGTACAGTCGGACCGTAGCGGAAGTGAATAAGTATGAGCGAGGACTGGAAACCTTTGAGACGGAAGTTTAGTACGCCAAACCCTCTGGGCCAACTGCTCCGGTACGATGTTGATCGATGTAGTTGATGTTTGTTTTGTATGAACGACTTGTTCCTTTCTTGGCCCGTTGTTGTTCATAGTCAACCTGAAAGCTTTTCGCGTCGACACGAAAAACTATCCGGTATTATGGACACATAGCCTAAGAGACTGTGAACTTGGAAGTATTGCTTAAGATGGCCCAAGTTACCAAGTATTACTCTACTTTGGTTTTCCTTGTGCTAAATTTGCAGCAGAAGTTTCTTTTTTCTTGATCATGATCAAACGAGAGAAATTTGGAAAGACTAGACAAAGTACTTTAAAAATGAGTTTGTCGTTTCCTTTGCTTAAAGCTTGATGCGTTACCAGACTTTTGTTGATGTCAACTAAATCCTTTAATACAAATATTTTTAGGTAATAACTATTTCAAAACGTTAACTGTAGACTCGTTTGCGCGTTTTAAGATCAAAATTCGCAGTCTTCTATATTATTTTGGCATTTACAAAAACTATCTGAGATATCCGGAAACCGGTCGTTTCGATACAAAGTCGTTTCGGTAGAAGTCGTTTCGATACGAGCTCAAGCAGTGAAACTACACAAAAATTTTGATCATTTCAAGTGTAGTTTGCGCGTCAACAAGAACAACATTTTGGATCCTTCGTTTTTTAAACAAGTACGTGAAATGAAACTATTTACAAATCGACTAAATAAACTTGTATCGAAACGACCGGTAAACGAGACATCCTTGCCTGTGTTTTCCCATCTTACCCGATATAAAGAGCTATGCCTTAGACGCTTCACCGCGTTGGATTTCTATCGGAACCGAGTAGCCAGTTTGGAAGCAAAAGGCAATTCTTAAACCTGTGGTGTAATCTTTTGTTACCCCGCTTTCTTTGTTGGTGTCAGAGGAGTAGCAAAGCAATTTTACACATCCCCTGTAGGCTAGGGGGTCTAGAACAAACACCTCTTCTTTTTTCCTAAATGCCTGAAAAGGAGTCAAGAAAACCAGACCATTTATAAAGGGATACACCGTCTTGTAACGAGTGAAAGAAGAATTGGACATATCAAGAAGGCTAACAAAACCGTGCGAGGTTTAAATTCAAAAGTTTTAGCAAGAGTTACGTTTAATTCGCTTCCGTCAATCATAATTATACGATGACTACCAACGAACCTTTTAAAGAAAGAAACGAAAAGGAAAGATAGAAATCTACCAATTACAGCCCACAGACCTGACTTTAAGAACCTGTTATTAAAATATTTGTTTCCGTAACCAACGTTATCGTTGGTTAAATGTGTGACTTGACAGTTCGCACGTTATTGAAAAGCGAAGTAAGTTCATTGAAAGGTTGAAATCGTTTTCTTCGCGGCAGCGTGGTGTC